CATCGTGGCTGCTGTTTTAGCTGCGGGCTTCAAGCTCCTGCCTCGCTCGTTTACCGTAGGGGAGGCACTGCTCGTTGCACAGGGCGTTGGACTTTGCGCTTACGATCTGCTGCTTGTCACCGTTAACAGAGTACGCTTCCATGTCATCGTTTACTACACATATGTGTCGTAACAGGTTTTGTTTCCGTATTCGCTATACAGCTTAATGAGTACGACGTGATCGATTTGCCGCCGAGCGTCCTTCACTCGTGGCTCATTTTCGACGTAGACCGACCAGATAATGTCTTAGCACTGGAAGTTGGAATGCTGGGGACCCTACTGGTGTGCGTGGGTTTAGTCCCGCTCTTACGGTCTTACGGAGCACCATCACCTACCACAATTGTACAGCCGTTGTCTTTTAACGGAACCGTGGGGTTTGTACTGACAGTTGCAGTGGTGGTGGGCGGCGTGGTGTATCCGTGGAGTTGCTTCTTGTTGCAGACGTGGAATCCATTTGCGTGGCTGTTCGACTTCCTCACCGAGTCGAGCAGTTCGTCACTACTATCAATACCGCCGCGATTTGCACTAATGGGATACTGGGCCACATGTCTGGTCGTTTTGCTCCCGTTGTTTGGTTTTATTTCGAACCGCTTCGCTCTCCGCAATATTGTGACGCGAAAACTATTTCACGTTTTGGTGGTATTGATGCTGGGACCGGCATCACTTTTTGATGCCTCTATGCTGTCGCTGAGCTATGGTGTAGCTCTTAGCGTCTTCTTTCTGTTGGAATGCGTGCGTGCATTGTCATTGCCTCCATTTGGTCGCTTAATTGCTGAGTTCATGAGATCGTTCATTGATCATCGCGAAGCTGGACGTGTCATCTTGACCCATTCGTATCTGCTGCTTGGCTGCGCGTTACCGTTATGGCTTGTGCCTTCTCCTGTCACTCCTTCTCCACTTGTAATGAACGCTGGAGTTGTAGCACTGGGTGTTGGAGATGCAATGGGAGCCGTGGTGGGTTCGAGTATCGGTAAACACAAAATCTTTGGCAGCAAGACTGTAGAAGGATCTGCTGCTGTATTTTTTTCGATGGCTTTCGCGTCGCTATTCGTACAGAACTACCACGCATCTGTCGCCCATGGAGAGTTCACGCAGGTACCAGCATTGACTTGACTGGGGAGGAGTTTCTTAGCACTAACACCCATTTTGTTTGTGCGATCGGTATAGGCGTTTTTACTTATAGCTGGTATTTTCTTGACGACCGTCTTGGAAGCTGCTACGGCGCAGATCGACAACTTAGTGCTGCCACTTTTCTTCTACACAGCATGCAACCTGGTTGTTTGCCATCGTGTATGAGCCGAGTAAGCTAGTTAAAATTGGTACGCAACACGTGTAGCTCCGATGTCCATATAGGTGGCTTGCTCCTCCTTGCTTTTAAGGTGACGGCTTCTGGGTGAATTCCAGAATGAGGAGTTCTCTTTTCATTGAGATTCGAATTGAATCAGTCTCATATTCGTATGACTCGGATGGACTAGTAATGAAGATCGTTTTCCGTGTTGCACGCTTTGTCGTGCACCTTGTGATTGGTCAACAACGGAATGGCTACGTTTGATTAGTCGCATCATGAGATGGATGAGCACTTGAGATGATCATCTAAACGTTGCGTTTGGAAAACAGTGATCCATTGTTCATGTTGCTCTCCTTTATACAAAAATACTTTATCACATGCGTTTCTACTCGAAGATCAACGACTTGAGCGCAAACTCGAGACCATCCATGGAGTGGATCATGGTGTCCATGGAGCCAGCATATGAAATCCGTAGTCCGTGAGGCTCGCCCATGTCGGAACCGGGACCCACCGCAACTCCCGTCTTGCGGATCAAATAATCACAGAAGTCATCGACATTGTGGATCTCCTCACCCTCCGCAGTGTAGGCTTTCTTGCCCTCAAACAACAAGCCAAGATCAACGAAAACGTAGAATGACGACGTCGGGTACGCAAAGCGCACGTTGGTCATGGCTTGCAGACGCCTGGCGATGTACTGACGCTTCAAGTCGAGTCCGTGCAAGTTTTCAGCAATTCGAACTTCACCCTTTTCAATAGCCTCCAGCTCCATCTTCATGGCTTCGATGGCCATCACTTGACCAACACTGTTTGCACAGGATGTCAGCTGTCCTTGCATCAAGTAGCAAGGTTCAATAAAGTGCAGGGGGCCAGCCATGTAGCCAATCCGCAAGCCAGTCATAGCGTACGCCTTGGAGAATCCGTTGATCAACACTGTGCGCTCATACATACCTGGGATCGAAGCAAAACTCTTGCAAACTCGCTGGGGGGCGCCTTCATCCTGGTATACGAGTTGCTCGTAGATTTCGTCGGAAATGACGATAACATGACAGAATTGTGGCTTACGGAGGACTGCAGCGATCTGTTCGAGTTGCTCGGGACTGTGAAGAGTACCAGCAGGGTTACTCGGGTTACACAGGATGAGGATTCTAATCTCAGGGTTCGCAGTTAATGCCTCCTCAAGCTTCACCGGGTTAATCAGGTAGTTTTCTTCCAAAGTATTGCGCAATTGAACCATTTGCGTCTTGACCTGAGCGAGAATACCTTCGTAGCTTCCCCAGTACGGCGACGGCAGTAGAACCTTGTCACCTGGACGCAAAATCGCGAGGATGACATTGTATAGAGCCTGCTGAGCGCCACCACACACCTGAATCTCCTTGGGATCGTAGGTCACACCCTTAGCACGTTTAAGGTATTTCGCAATGATCTCACGGAGGTCGACCATGCCTCGCATATCACAGTACTTGGTCTTGCCCTCCTGGATTGCTCTGATACCAGCTTCAAGTACCCGCTTGGGCGGCTGGAAGTCAGGCTCACCAACACACAGAGAATACACAGGCTTTCCTTCAGCCTCCATCTGCTTCGTCACACCAAATACTGCAAGAGTCTTGGCAATCTTTGTCGTATCAAACACTGGACTCAAAGGATACCTCTGTGCCATGGTCAGTTCCTGCGACGAAGCGTTAGGAACGCCGTTCGTTGCCTCCAATGCGCCACTGGCGTAGCAGCCCAGCACACGGACGTACGAGCACATGGCTCTCAAACTCGCGATGGCTTCGATAACCTTCGCATCGCTCTGACGAGCCTTCACATCCACGTAGAAGATGAACTCGGCCTTGCCAGCACTCGGATGTGCGCAGCTCCATGGACGACTCTCGATCTTGCTCAGGTCGATTTCACGAGACGCAAACAAGCCCAACGCACGGTGCAACTGGCCATGAGCGTTGCCCGATGCAAACGCAAATGCAAGCGATGTCTTACATCCTGCAGCTTTTACTGAAGGCTCTACTGGCGTCTTGGCCACCGTCCAGAACCTGGTCGGACCAACGGACTCGCCCACCACCACCAGGTCGTACTTGAGCAGGATGTCATATGTCTCGTAGTAACTACCGTGAGTTGATGTCTCCGCAGGTACAACGGCGAGCTCTGCGTCCTCCTTCTTGACAGCAGCAATAGCATCTTCGATGGTCGCATAGCCGATGGTCTTGAACTCGTTTACAGCGCTGAGCATCTCGTTCGCGGCCGCCTTTGCACCAGAGAAGCCGGCGTCTTCGTAGTAGGCCACTCGTGTCGACGTTCCAACTGCCATAATGGAGGTTTGACTTCTGACTTGGTGGTATTAAAGCGAATTCCGGAATGAAAGACAAAAGACCATGACGATCTTCGTGCAGTGCATCATGGCAATCGTATCAGTATCAGTTGAAGATGGGAGCACCGACGTCATTGGTCCTACGCGCACTGTGATTGGCTGTCGACGTTCCCGAAAAGACGTACGTTAGTCGCCGAATCCAAACCAACAGATTAGATGACCAGGCGTCTGACCATGGAGATCCGTGCTGTTCCTCTGGGGTTCGTGTGGCTGTGATGGCCTGCAGCTCTTGGAGATAGCATCACACACGTATCGGTAATATGCTTGCGGCAGGAAGGCTTAAAACCACGCTATTACAGCTAGAGCCTAGCTTCGTACTGACAGCCAACTGCTGGCAAGGTAGTGAAAAATAACTTGACTGAGCAAGCAGCGCATGATCTATCTAGCCACGAATAACCTTGTGAAGCAGGAGCAAAAGAATGAGGAACGTCTGCAGAATCAGAGCAAGGAGGTGCGTATCAAGGAACATAAAATGCTTAAATAGGGGGCAGATCGTCGTGCAGCCGAGCAGGAGGCTATTGCGCGTAGTCGGCGTCACCAACTCGACTGTAAACAGCGCGAGAAGGAGCATGAGGCCCAGGAAGAGCTGGAATGTGTCGTTCAGTGGGAACAATTCGGTAGGCGCATCGAGATGCAATACAACAGGAACGTCGACTGGAGGACCTTCGACTTGTAATTGGACGAAAGCAGCAGGCTGATGCCACGCGCAAAATTCTCAAGGACGAACGCACCGCTCAGTTCCAGGACGATCAAGCTGCTCGTTCTGTTCGGGACCACGAGGATGATCGCTTCAGGGTCGTGGCCCAAAGAGCACTTGAAGAGGCTCGGGAGCGTGGCCTGACGAATGTGTTTCCCATTCAAAAGCGATGGTGGAGAAAAGGATCGACTTGCTACATGTATCATGTTTCCGCATCTAGCTGTAGTGGTGCTACCATTATTTTATATGAACATACTGTACACACTTTTTTCGCTTGTTTTTCATGTTGCTAGGCAATAAATTTCAGCTTTTACGGATACAAACTTGCTATCCGGTTATGAGACTACACTTTGTAATGCCGTCACTTGCTGCTCGGCTAGCCGAATGCCTTCTTTGCGCAGATAGTTTACTATCACACTAACGCGCATAACTTGTAACTGTACAGTTTAACAGAACAGTTAGCGTGTCAAGAAGAATACAAAACGAGATAATGATAAGTGGCAACTTACCCGCTCGACAAAGATGACGCGCTTTAACTCTGCTGATATATTGGAAATCTCGGCTTTGTTGTCATCGTCGATGATATTGACCTCACTTTTTTCAATTGAGTCCAGCAAAGGCTCGAGTCGACCACGTAGTAGTTGCAGCATTTGATTAAACGATTCATTGCGCGCAAAGGTTTCCCACCGCTCAAGCTCGCCTGGTTTAACGACATAAGGCTTTCCAACCTCCTGTTTGGTCCTCAAAAGTGCCTCACGTCGCTTGTATTCCAAGTAACTTTTGTTGAACTGAGATCCGACCAAAGTAAGTGGCATGGCAGTATAGCAGGCACCGAAGATCATAGCCACGACAGCTACAAGCTTCCCCGAACTCGTCACAGGCTCCATGTCACCATAACCCACAGTTGCTAGTGTTACGATAACAAACCAGAATGCCGAAAAGAAATCATCAAAGCTTGATATTTCTCCTTTAAAGTTGACAAGAAAGCGTTTACCAGGCAAAGAACCTTCAAGTTCAGCAGGGTAGGTCATATTGTGCTCTCCAATGATACATTCTTGGCCGTAAAAGCACTCCTGACCCTTCTCAAGCTCGAACATAATGAAAGACAGAATGGTAGTCACCACCATCAGCATAAAATACGGGATAGTAAGTCTTGCCGACGTCTTCGAAATCGACTCCCACAACACCTTAGTGACAGGGATACTCTGTTGAATTTTAAAGATACGGGATAAACGTAGCAGACGCAGGAACGTAAGGAAATCTTGGGAGGCTGGCGGGATAACGTAAATGGGCGTCACGCCACTGAAGAAGCGACGTCCTTCAAACACGAAGAATGGGATGAAAGACGCCATTTCGATGAATACGAGAGGGTTCTTGAAATATGTACGGTAGTTTTCGCACACGAACAGAGCGGCCGCGAACTCGAACATATACGTGAGTGTGAATATGTACTCCATCGCCACGTATCCATTGCCGAACTCGAAGAATGTCACGTGAAGGTTGTCGCATTCCCACTTCTTGCACACACTCAAACGCCTATCCTGTTTGATTAGATTGTTATCTTGTCGGAAAGGTATGACGAGATCAAGTTGATCTCGATACGACGAGCCCTTCAGGTTCATAACGCTTAGAAGTACCTTATCTGATCCATCGCACGAAAGTCTGTCGTCCACGGTGCTGCTACCAAAGTTTCCAGGATATCCGTAGCAGGTAGAATCAACAAGTTTCTCAGTATCAGAGCAACCAAAACGAAGTCTGGCGCTCGAATTGTCAACAGAAAAGCAACCAGGATCATTGCCACCTACAGCGACGTCCACCACATTCTCGCAGTAACGCTGAACCTTGCGTTCGCATAAATACGTCTGCTCGCCATACGTCTGTAGATCTGGCATGGTTTGGAACACGACGATGATCATACTGAATATAAGGCAGAATTTCACCCATCGGGAGATCGCACGAGCCATGAATGAAGACTCTGGGTCCAGAATCGTCGTGCGTGCCCACTCTCGCCATGTTGGTGGCGCAGCGACCTCCTGGGACTCTGCAACAATCATATCACGGACCATTACCGCCAGTTCCTCGCACTTGAGGAAACACAACTCGGTAGTTTGCTTCAGATCACCAGTAATATCACGTAGGTGGCGTAAATTGAAGTCTTGGGACGTAGCTTCGGTGACAAGTGCCTGTGTGATGAGAGACGCCTCGCCCGTAAGCGCTGCTAGTCGTAGGTAGAGTTTGTTGGGCGCATTGTACTTGACGAGGATTTCGTGCTTCTGGTGAGCGCGATTGTCCCCTGTGGCGGCGGCTAGGTCGATGTTAACGGGGGTAGCTACGTGGGTTCCAGCCTGTAATTGTTGGAACTTCTTGACGCTCTCTGCGTGCTGTTTCCAGGCACGATCGAACTCTGTTCCGATAATGGCCAAAGGCATGGACAAGAACAACGTACCAGACATGATAATCATGACAGCAAAGCAACGGCTTGCCACGTTGCCTTTGGTCGGTGTAATGTCTCCGTACCCGATGGTGGCCACAGTGACCACCACAAAGTAGCCTGTGGTGAGTAGATCCGAGAAGCCTGGTTTATTGCGATCGTAACTTGGATCCACCATGTACATGACAACTGAGAAGAAGAGCACAATCTCTGTGAAGAAAATAAGAGCCACGGAAATGGGGGCGACACTGGCGCGGATAGCTCGGAGCAGAATGTACGTCCCGGAGTGATTGCGCGCTAGTTTGAAGATACGCAGCAGTCGACACAGCCGCATAATGACGAAGCTCTTCTCCTTACCGAAGATGAGGTCTGTGTAGAACGGGACGATGGCAGCGACATCGAACCAATTGAAAAAGTCGCGCAGAAAAGGCTTTAGACGTCGCTCGGTCAGGTATTCGTGTTCGTGCCATAAGGACGGCCAGATGATGAGACGGATGAGCAGCTCTGGGGTGAAAATGATAGTAAAGACCAGGTCTGCGTCGTAGTAGCCGCTCTCGTTGGGAAGTTTCGGGTACTCTGGCTCGGAACTCTGGTGGTTTGGACCATCTAGGGTCTGCAGGAACAGGATGAAGCAGCTTGTAAAAGCTGCACAGGCGATGAAGAAGCTGTAGAGCGACGCCCCGCGCGATGAGTTGGGGTCCACCATGAAGACGAAGATTTTCTCAAACCGGCCGAGCGTCGTCGCGTGCTTCTTGGCGCCCGTTCCGGTGCCTTTGATCATGGACTCGGCATAGAACGTCGAGTTGACTAGCTCATCTAGTGACTCCTCCTGCGTGCTGAACGTCGGCGAGATCGCCGCGTACACAGGCATCTCGGTGGCAAAGACGTATGATACAAGGCGGTTGAACGTCTACTAGAAGACAGCGCTAGAAGTCTCCGCTAATGATGGCATCGCGGCGTTATTGTAGAGAAACCGCCGATGCACTGATACTAGTACAAGTTAAAACTGATAACTTGCAGTCTCTGAACGTTTGTTCGGAAAGTCCCAAGTTGGGACTCACAAGTTGGTGGAATCAACTTAGATCTCAACTGATAAATTATAGTGTCCCCTGAGCTATTACTTTAATGCCCCCCCCCCCCCTTTCTGGGACACTATTTCGGCACAAAACGCTGTCCTCAGATTCATTAATTAGCCCCTGCAAGTCCTCCTCAACCATGGTGAAGGGCGAGGTGAAGGTCGCGTACCAGGGCATGCCTGGCGCCTACTCTGAGAAGGCGACGCGGCAGTTGCTCGGATCATCAACCAACGTCGTGGCCGTGGGGTATCCGTCCTTCGAGGAGGCGTTCCTGGCTGTAGAGCGCGAGGAAGCCGAGTTTGGCGTGCTGCCCATCGAGAACTCTCTAGGCGGCAGTATCCACGCCAACTACGACCTGCTGCTCAAGTTCGACCTTCATATTGTGGGCGAATACGATCTGCGCGTGGAGCACTCGCTGCTGGCCCTACCAGGCGTGAAGAAGAGCGACATCAAGACGGTCATCAGCCACCCGCAGGCGCTGGCCCAGTGCGCCAATACCATCGCATCCATGGGTGCCAAGCCGCGCGCCGAGTACGACACGGCCGGCAGCGCCAAGATGCTGGCCGACAACCAATGGAAAGACACGGCCGCCGTGGCCAGCGACCTGGCAGCCGAATACTACGGCCTGCAGGTGCTACAGCGGAACATTGAAGACGACGCCGGCAATTTCACCCGCTTCCTGCTGCTGAGTAGGAAGGGCCTAGATGCCAAGGCGGACACGGAATTCAAGACATCACTCGTCTTCTCCTTCATGGACAGCAATGAGAAGGGCCAGCTGTACAAGGCGCTGTCGGCCTTCTCACTGCGAGACATTGACATGTCCAAGATCGAGAGTAGACCCTGGGGACACACGGCCGAGCAGCAGTACCAAGATTCTGTACAGTCCGAGGACTTTTCACTGTCGGCCGAGAGCGTCCGCAGGAAGTACAGCTACCTGTTCTACGTGGATCTCATTGGCCACCAGACAGACGAGAACATCATCAATGCGCTGCGTCACTTGCGCGAGTTCTGTAAGTTTGTACGCGTGCTGGGCTCATATCCGACCAAGGGAAAGTTACTGGGAGACGTACGCAAAACACTGGAAGCCGTCGGTGCGTACCAGGCCAACCCGATCACGGCCTCGCCGGCCATTGCGCCGCAACCCAAGGCCGAGCGTTTGAATATCGGTATCTACGGCTTCGGTAACTTCGGCCAGTTCCTGGCCAAGACGATGGCCAAGACGCATGAGGTGCGGGCCACCTCCAGGACGGACTATTCTACTGTGGCCACCGAGCTGGGATGCAAGTATTACTCGTCGGCGACGCAGCTCGAGCAGTTTTTCGATGGCCTGGACGTACTCCTGCTGGGTGTCAGTATCCTGTCGTTTGAAAGTGTATTGAGCAAAATCCCCAAGCATCTGCTGGAAAACGTCGTTATTGTGGACGTGCTGTCTGTCAAGACGCACCCGAAGCAGATTATGCTTCGAGATCTCCCGCAGAGCGCGAGTATCTTGTGTACACACCCGATGTTTGGCCCCGAAAGTGGTAAGTATTCGTGGAGAGGCCTGCCAATGATGTATGAGAAGGTGCGAATCCTCTCAGGTGAACACAACCACGTGATGGACAATTTCCTGCGCATTTTCGAGACAGAACAGTGCCGCATGCTGGAAATGACGTGCGAGTCTCACGACGAGTACGCTGCTAGCAGCCAGTTCTTGACGCACTTGACTGGACGAATTCTCAGCGTGCAAGGTGTGAAGAACACGCCTATCGACACTCGTGGCTTTAAAAATCTCGTACGACTTGTGGAAGACACGTGCAAGGACAGCTTCGACCTATTCCAGGGTCTCTACAAGTTCAACCCCAACTCCGAGCAGCAGATTCAAAAGTTCCGTGAATCACTAGACGAAGTCACACAGAAGCTGGGCAACAAGCCAGCCACCAAGTCTGCTATCCACCAGGACGCCCCGATGGCGGAGAAGTACCCGCAGAACCCGCTGCTGGGAAAGATCGCGGCGTCCAAGACGGTGGTCATCCACGGCATGGCGAAGCAGCTGGAGGCCGAGGGCAAGCAGGTGTGGTCTTTGTGCGTGGGTGAGCCAGACTTCGCCCCAGCCGAGCGTGTGCTGAAGGCTGGCATGACGGCCATGGAGCAAGGCAAGGTGAAGTACACGGACGTGAAAGGCACAGCGGAGCTACGTACTCTGATCGCGCAGTACCTGGAGACGTGCAAGGGTCTGAAGTACGACCCATTGACGGAGATCCTGGTGTCGAATGGCGCAAAACAGACGGTGTACCAGGCTCTGTTGACGATCACGAAGCCTGGCGAGCAGGTGCTGATCCCAGCGCCGTACTGGGTGAGCTACCCGGAGATGGTGAAGCTGACGGGTGGCGAGCCTGTGATCCTGCAGACGAAGCTGTCGGAGAACTACCTGATCGACCCGGTGGAGCTGGAGAAGGCTCTGGTGGTCAACCCGCGCATCAAGTCGCTGATGCTGTGCAACCCGAGCAATCCTGCTGGCACGGTGCACTCGCCGGCCCAGCTGGAAAGCATTGCTGCTGTATTGCGTAAGCCTCAATTCCGTCACATCCTGGTGGTCGCCGATGAGATCTATGAGCAGTTGGTGTACCAGGATGAGGGTGAGGCGAAGCGCGAGCACCAGAGCTTCGCGACGCTGCCGGGTATGTACGAGCGCACGTTGACAGTGAACGGATTCTCGAAGTCGCACGCGATGCCGGGTCTGCGTATCGGGTACCTGGCTGCGCCCAAGTACTTCGTCCAGGTGTGCACGAAGCTGCAAGGCCAGCTGACGTCGTGTGCAAGCTCGGTGGGCCAGGCTGCCGCCGTGGAGGCGATGAAGTTCGAGATGGAGTGTGTGTCGCAGAACAAGGAGCGCATGACGGAGACGCTGGCGATTATGGACGAGAAGCGCAAGTACATCGTGAAGCGTCTGCAGGCGATCCCCCAGTTGGAATTCGCGTACCCGACGTCGGCGTTCTACGTGTTCCTGGACTTGGCGTCGTACTTCGAGGGCAAGCAGGGCGTGACGGCGGATAAGAGCGAGGTGGTGAAGGACGCGGATGGTTTCTGTGAGTACTTGCTGCGCCACTACCACGTGGCTCTGGTTCCCGGTTCAGCGTTCGGCGTGAAGAACGGTCTTCGCATCTCGTACGCTAGTTCGATGGAGACGATCAAGCAGGCACTCGATGGACTAGTGCAATCGCTAGGCGATTTGACGTTTGAATAGGTTGGTTGTTGATCTAACGACAATTTTCATCCCAAAAAAAAAATATCACACTAAAAAAAAAACGTCCAATTTAAGTACTGGCTTCCAGCCATATTTTATTACGGTTCGACAACGAAGCTTGTAGAAGGTTCGATATGCAATAATATAGGCTTGGATGGCATTCAGACGAAAATAAGCCATTAAAATTTTCATGGGTTTTTTTCGTCTGATGCCATCCGAGCCAATCAGCATACGTCACGACGAGATTTTGGAACTATGTTATAAAACGTTTTTACTGTTGTAAAAGCAAGGCATTGAAGCCTCTATGAAAAAAGTAGTTATGTGATACGTTTTGTCCCGTAATAGCAAGTTTCTGTAACGATAGTTCTGGAACAACTTACGCTTCCTACTCTATTCTAATTTCGGGTCCTCTTCAAAAATCGGGACGCCCGAATCAGCTCCGAATTTAAGTCTGTTAGATTTTTTGTTGCGGCTTTCGGCTTGTTATCTTCTTATTTTTGGATGTCTAGTACCCATAAATTCGTTTTTGGTACTCATAAATTCGCTTTATGAATTGAGTTATTAAATGACTAGCCGAGCGCCGCCGCTACGAGGCGGTAATTTATGATTGGTCGCAATTGCTAAGGTCTTTACCGCCTTCGCTTCGCTTCGGCGGGATTATACCCTTTTTTAAACATTTTTTTTAATTTGGATTACCCTTATATTAAATGTTTTCCCTAACCCATTTATCGATTACTATTAAATATTTCCTAAAACTCATTTATTGGTTACTTTTAAATATCTCATTTAAGAATACAAACTATTTATCACTTTATAACAATCTCGATAAACAAGTTGATCAGTACAATCCATAGGTACAATGTACTTTGTACTATCATGGCCTCCTGCGTATTACTATATCAACACGTTCAAGCTTTTCTCTCCTTCATTGTATTATACACTTTATTTACGAATATTTAGCGATAATCTCGTGCCCTAACACCATTATCAAACATTTTATTGTTTTTTATTATCTACTTAATGACCTTGCAGTGTGCAGTCTGAAGTGTCTCCTCAGTTCGTAGTATTGTTCAAACACCACTCCACCAAATGAAATAATACTTGGTTTTGTTTGCGTTGTTCCATGCCGCCTACTGTTGATGTAGAACTACTCCCAAATAGCTATGTTGACAGCAGCCCACACGCACAGGTTACAGCAAAGTGACTTTGCGCTCAACTACCAATATGGTTAAGTCTCTCACTGTCTCAATTATTCTGCTATCGATTAAGCGTCCACGATTACAGCGAGTTTGAGTTCGTTTACCATTTATGGATTAATAAAGTATCCCAGCATAATCATCTAACACTCGTCGCATCTACTTTCTGCTCGCTATCACAGCTACTTGTAGACAAAACCTGTATTCTAACAATTTTATAATGTCATTATAATTACTATAGTATTCAAGCATTTAAAATTGTTGCGAAATATGTCAGGTGTTCGAGTTCATACGAATGATCAGTCTTTCGGAGAATTATAGTGGATTTTTTGGGGGTTAATATTTAGTCCTTGCTGTGACTAAAGCTATAGAGAATATGATCAAGTTACTTCTCCATTATGGTATTAGTAGCAGTTATTGTATCTGTTATTGTATCTGGAGCTATATCTCAGTATGGCTCAAATGAGCTTATGTCTATTAGCAACCGTGTTCTTATTACAGACCTGCCAGTAGTGCAACTTTTCCCGTCAAGCGTATAACATGAAAGTGTCTCATTCAGATAACGTTTAGGTCCTAATTAAAAGCAAACTTTAATTATGGCTCTCCATTTACTTCGTAGATTACCTTACGTGTCGCTGTCGTGTACTTCAGACACAAACTATGGGGCACCGTTACTATGTTTAGTCGCACAGGTCCTAGCAAGCATTCATTGCGTATGGGTAGTACGACAGCGTACGATATATATAAGATAACGTTACTAAAGAAATTATTATTTTTTTCGATGCCGCCTTAACTTCGCTTGACAGCTCAGAATGGATAGCCTAGTGAGGTCGTGCTATGTCCTCCGTATGTACAATGTACGCCACACAAAATTAGTTATGTATGCCACATAATGTAATTTTAGCCAGCCAGGGCCGCCGTTGATTTCCTCGGCAGCCAATGGGAGGGCTCAAAAACCTTACCGTTCGTGTGACGGACGGCTAGCGTTGATGTTCAAGATTGTACGAAAACATTCACATGGGACTCCAAAAAGTGAAAACGGGCCTGACTGAACTAGCAACACTCATGACTGGGTGTTGGTTATTGTACAAAGTAGTTGTTGGTTGTTACGGTCAGTTCGGAAAGTGAGATGGTCACAGGCCATCCCTTCTACCACCCTGATGCCCTCTTTCCTTTTGTTTGGTTGGTCAGACTGGCTACATTAATTGAAACGGTTGGCGGGAACCCGGGCTCCCCCCAAAAAAACTGAAAAAATCTGGATTATTTATTTTTATCCGAATGTAGGTGGTTGCAGAGTTTTCATCTTCCACTTTGACGAAGAGAGCACTAACAATGGCCCCACGCCGAAGTGGAGGCTCACAAACGACCATACCCCTGCGAAGGCCCAGGAAAGTGCATGATCGAGATGAGGCCGCGTGTCTACGAGCAGTCGCTAAACTTGGACTGGAGACCACCAAACAGCTACGTGCGGACTGGGATTCGTGGGACACTGGGTATGGTGGTAAGGAGTGGAGCCAATCTGAAGGCGTCGTTATGCTACCCACCCGTTTTTCGAGCAATGGGGAACTGTACTTCACAAATATTTTACTGCACCTCCAGCGGGTTACACCTCCGATTACTTCTTTGAAATAGACCAATGTATCTGTACCGCTCGAAAACCTGTGCAAACTCGAGATGACGATGCTATCACGTTTAATATGGTCAAATGTACGAGCATCGAAACTGTTCGTAAGGCATTTATCACGGAGCATTTTGGCCCCTCGATTCAAACTATACGGGAAGCTTAAATCCACAGTGTGTACCTACCTCGCAAGCCAACGCAAGATCTGTCGGACAAAAAGATGAAGTCCTTATTGGCAAAAAAATTTGATCCCGCAACAACACCTTACCTACTACCCGGCAGTACCTGATTCCATCATTGACGCTCCTGATTTGGGGGCTGCAGCTAGTGACGCCGAAAGTACGCCCAAGTTCCAGTCGAAGCGCAAGCCAGGCCGGCCAAAGAAAAAGAAGCCCACCGTGAAACCTAACCAACCCTCCATTCTACAGTTTTTTTAGTACGGCACAAAAGCCTTCTTCCAGCTAACAACCGGCCTGTAGGTGGCTTTGGACAAAGCACTTGAGATTCATTTGCTTATACTTTTTATACCATGATACCCGAAACTCTAATAAAAAATTCCTACTGTAGAAGGGTATTACCGGTACTTTTTCCAGCTGGCGGGGCAGGATGGGAACCCGGGCTCACGCCAAACGTTTCAATTAGCCAATGACATAGCATGATTTAACTCAATAGCCTATCACGGTGCTTCATTCCACAGCATACAAACTTGTATACACTGTGGCACAACACTCCCACTAAGGGGGGTCCAGTGTTGCCCATCAATGCTACACATTATCCATCAAGATCTTTCTCGAAGGATGCAACTTCAACACTGTTTTCAGATGCGTAACCAAATTACTTCCCAAATTACCAATTGAGTGCAAAAATGGTAACCTTAAAGCTGTTTTATAACTCATATCAGATTCATTACTTTATCTTATATTAAGACTTCACTTAATCTTTGTATTGACGTTTCCGACGATGGGTGAGACCTCTCACTCTCTCTTTTACTTCTTTGCTGCACAAGTGCCCAGGTATGATGAGGCTGCTGATGCTCGATCGGATTGAGCATCTAGCCACTTTGGTAGGGAGTTTCCGATAATGAAACGCGAGGTTGAACTCCAAGTTTGATGTTTTGGGTGCCTCATCAGAAGGGAAACCATCCGATGTGAATGTGTACATCTGAAATGAAGAATCTATAGTAACGTTCCATTACGAAAACACCATGCCAAATTTTCGTGTTTGAGGCCTTTATTTCCCTTTAAAACGTCATTATCCTCTTTCTAACGCCATTCCCTGGCCCATGCGATCGCGGCCTAATCGTTTCCACTCCGTCCCATGCATCTCTCAACTCCCATGAAACAAAAATCGTGATGAAACAGAAGTGATGAAACTGAAGGTAAAAATAACGAGCTTGGAGAATTTGAGTAATCCTACTTAAAGTGAAAACTACACCCAACAATAGTGAGCTTGATGAGATCGCCAGCTACTGATTTCGCTGGGATCAACGCAACGATAGATAGTACGATTTGAAGTGGGCATTGGGTTATCTTTGGTTCAACAAAGCACTCCGTGCTGTTTTTTTTATAGAGTTTCACGAATAATTGCTATATCGCTAATGCCTTGGAATCTTGCTTCAACCGATGCGTAACGTAACTAAACTGAGAAGTTCTAAGTCGATCTTAGCGCCGAATTCGCTGTGGATGTGTCACGTACACTGATCGGAGTCGCATCCCACCGAAGCTCATATTAAATGCGAGAGTATTGGTTATTTTCTCCTCGCTCTTCGTTTTGAGAATATAGGCAATTACGCCTCTTAAATACGTAGATCCTGCATCTAGGTAATCACTATAACCACCTTGTTCTTGCATGGGGGGATGCAGGGGATGGGGTTGTCATAAGGGGCTTTCTTGTTGGGGTAAGAATCATATGTGTGCTCCAACAAGATTTGATTTATCACTCGTAATATTGCTTTCATGTGGCTGACAGTCCTCGGAGCCATCTTCGGAGTCAGAGTAACATTCTCGGTCTTGTAGAACTGGTGACGTGGGTACTGATAAATGCGATCGTACCAACCAGAACTTGGACATTCTTGTAGGCAAACTACCACGAGCAGCGGGCGAAGCTCAGCTCGCCGGGTACACGGCTCACGAGGCGTATCACTTGTGGCCCCTTATGTATCCTCTTGTAGCGGTTCTTTTCACCAAAAAGTAGCATCGACATCGAATACTACGAAGAGCGCTCATAGAAAAAGTGGTTGGTATGAACAGTTTACCCAAACTTAGTTCGTTTTCCCTTGCAACATCTAGTGTGCCAGTTCATCATAAATCCAAGGTCGTAAGTGTCGTCCGTATTCTCCTCGAATACTTAAGAAAATATTATCTCTCAGCCTTGAAGTAATGCAAGTTATCTCATTTTTACTCACTAATGTGCCGATATGAGGGCTCGTTCATTGAGCAAAATTTCAGTGGTAAGTGCATAGCAAGGCTCCTAATAACGCTTAGTATTGTATTTAGATTGAGAAGACAACTGCGTTGTTAGTTGCGGATCCCTTTTAGCAGAAGCGGTGGGTGTGACGCTGAGATGGATCAAGTGATCATAATTCACTCTGTATACTTGGTCATTGTACAGGCCCAGAAGGAACGCAGCTACGTTTTGAGCACATTGTTCTAGACATATGGAAAAAATGTGAGAACAAACGTGTCTGTGTAGACTGCGCATTTGTATATTGTGCTTAACTCTGTGAGGGTGTGCGTCTGTTGGGTTGACTTATAGGATCCTTCGACAGAATAATGGTCCTGATTTTTATGGAAGCGTGAAGTAGCGTCGTTGGGGGTTCGGAATCCATGTGCATGCTTCGAGCGGCCATAGTGACCATACCACTCAACCTCGATCCTCGTAATCCGGGAAACGCCGGCGTTGGGTACACTTCTGAGGACGAGAACCCCTAAGGTATGCTATTTTTACAAACGTGAATGTTTAGGAAACAAAAGGAATAACCAGGCCTCGCTGATATCGTGGATTGGGAATCGTATAAGTACAACGTAGCGGTGACAGGCTCATTTCACTATTTTATTGTGGTGGTGCACGGTCGATGTCTTGTTGTCCTTTGAACCGTCTCCCTGTAAATCCTAACTTCTCTGAGAAACAACATATGAATTGAGCCCTATGCGGGGCAGACGCAACTGAAATTATAGTAGCAGACGCATATAATAAATATTGCTACGAAATTCTTAAGTCAGCTCAAAACCGCACATAAATGCAGTTGGCGAAGATACTATTTTCCAAAATCCGGACACTTCCAATGCGACCACAAATACAACTAACAAATTCGTATAAATGGCAAAATAGTTGTTTCCGGGAGGTAACAGCATCGAATAGTCTGACAATCTGGAACGCATTACGTAACATATTTTGGTGTACGTGAGTCTGGTTCATTCTTTCTAGATATTTTTTTATGGTATTTGCGTGATGACCTTGTATTACTCACGTAACTTCCGAGCATTCTGATATCGGGTGCAGCGGGGCTGCCGTAGCTTAGCGTCAGAGGAAGACGGTTAACTCAAAGAGTAAAGGGGTTAACTCAACACCCTAATAAGGTTAATAGGTCCTTAATATCCGAAGGCACCTACTAACGATAACCTTAATAAAAGGG